CCCTAAACCCTAAACCCTAAACCCTAAACCCTAAACCCTAAACCCTAAACCCTAAACCCTAAACCCTAAACCCTAAACCCTAAACCCTAAACCCTAAACCCTAAACCCTAAACCCTAAACCCTAACCCTAAACCCTAAACCCCAAACCCTAAACCCTAAACCCTAAACCCCCCAACCCTAAACCCCAAAAGCGGGAGGCTTTGACGAGTCTGCGGCAGCGGCTTGGTGCTGGCGGTTCTACAGCGAGACTTTCCGGCACTCGGAAGGTAGGGTTGAGGGTTTAGGGTATAGGGTTTAGGGCTTAGGGTTTAGGGTTTAGGTTTTAGGTTGTCTAGGCTTAGGATTTGGGAGTTTACGGTAGTAGGGGAACCGTGTTGGGGTCCCTTTATAAGGGGATCCCACTATTTGGGGGTCTATAGTAGGGGTCCCTTATTCTCGTAAACCCCCATTTAGGGCGCGCAGGTCCTGAAGTTAAGGCCTCCGTGGAATCTCCGACAAAGCTCTTGAAAGCCAGGTTCGTGACTTGAGGGTTTTTTTGGATGCAGAGGGCTCCAACTTTCAAACTCCCACTTTTGAAGCCATCCCTGCAAGATGGCTCAGAGTTTAGGGTTTAGGGTTTCGGGTTTAGGGTTTAGGGTTTAGGGTTTGGGGTTTAGGGTTTAGGGTTTTTTAGGATTTAGTACAAGATTTAGGACCTTGTGACCTAGCTTCGCCAGGTAGCTGCTGAGCCGTGCAACAGATTATTGCTCCCACTTAAACCCTGATCAGCTGAAACGCGCTGCCTCCTTCACCCTGTCCTCTTTCAGAGGGGGGGGGGCCGGGTGGTTAAGAGTAGGATTCCCTTGTAAGAAGGACCCCAATAAGGTACCCCTAGTTTAGCCCTTACCCTAAACCCTGAACCCCAAACCCAAAACCCTAAACCCCAAAACCTGAACCCTAAACCCTAGCTCGTAAACCCCCAGGACTGGCAGCCGCGGCTCTTCAGCGAAGAGTGGATGGGGCCGCTTGACAGCTCAAACTCGGATTTTGGGGTCCACCTGGGTTTGAGGGTTTAGGGTCTAGGGTTTAGGGCATCAGGTCTTAGGATTGCGCCGAGTATAGGGATTAGGGTTTATGCAAGAAAGCGACATATGAATGGGTTTATAGTTTTTTTAAAACAAAGGGTTTAGTTTTCATAATGCAGGGCTTAGGGTTTGCAATAGAGGGTTTGGGGGTTTGTTTGGATACCTTGAGCCCAGTGGTACCCTTTGTTGTTCAAAGCCCCCGGGGCCTTGGTCGGGGCTGTTTTTTTTTGAGTCGTGTTTGAGGCAGGAAAGGGTGCTCTTCAGGATGACAGCGCTTCGGGTTGAGGGTTTAGGGTTTAGGGTTTAGGGTTAGGGTTTAGGGTTTAGGGTTTAGGGTTTAGGGTTCAGGGTTTAGGGTTTAGGGTTTAGGGTTTAGGGTTTAGGGTTTAGGGTTTAGGGCTTAGGGTTTAGGGCTTAGGGTTTAGGGTTTAGGGTTTAGGGTTTAGGGTTTAGGGTTTAGGGTTTAGGGTTTAGGGTTTAGGGTTTAGGGTTTAGTCATGGTTCATGGTGGTTGTTGTCAAACTCTAAGGGTAGTTACATGGTCCCTTGATCCCTTGCCTTCTTGACAGGGTTCTGATGTATGGGTTCTTGGGTTAGATAGGGTACATGAGGGGTATATAACTACGAATGGCTTAAGAACCCCCCAAAAAAAAACAATATTATTCCTTAGAAGGGTAATATAAGGATCAGTGTTTTGTTTTGTTTACTTCTTTTGGGGTTCTTAAGCAAATAGCAGATAAGGCCCAATTTAAGGGCTCCTACTAGGGGACCACATAACCACCCAAACTCTGCCCCAACGACGGCCATCCCATGTCGGACATTCGAAATAGAAGAGACTGACCACCCTCAACCCTGGGGACCACATGAACCTTAGAAGTGGGCCCTAAACCCTAAACCCTAAACCCTAAACCCTAAACCCTAAACCCTAAACCCTAAACCCTAAACCGTCATATACCCGACGCTATTATAACTCCTATTGACGCATACGAACAATAAACCCATTCAAGGTTCATCTGGGCACCCAGGAACCCTAAACCCTAAAATAAACCCCAGACCCTAAATCCGAAATCCCTAAACCCGAAACCCGAAACCCTAAACCCTAATCCCTAAACCCTAAAATGACTCTCCAGGAACTCCATGAACGATGTCGGTGACGGGCACAGCATCGAGATTCCCTCCCTCACCGCTGGAATGCTAGGACCTCAGGTCATTGTGGGGTGGGGACTTTTTAGGGTGTCGGGTTTAAGGTTATAGGGTATAGGGTTTAGGGTTTAGGGTTTAAGGGTTTAGGGTTTAGGGTAGTGCGGGGTTCCCAAAGTGGTTGTGCTGTTCGGGGTACATAAGGGGGGTTTCCCTATCTCGGAGAGACTCATCTGTGGGATTGTTGAGAGTAATGGGTCCCTCTTGGGTTGAGCAAGTATGCGGGACTTCTTCTACCTTATAGGGTCCCAGATCAGGGTTTAGGGTTTAGGGTTTAGGGTTTAGGGTTTAGGGTTTAGGGTTTAGGGTTTAGGGTTTAGGGTTTAGGGTTTAGGGTTTAGGGTTTAGGGTTTAGGGTTTAGGGTTTAGGGTTTAGGGTTTAGAGGCTTGGGGCTTGGGGTGTGGGTTTCGGGTTTAGGGTTGAGAGGAGTGTCGCATTATCATTTTCAGGAAGCTGTTTTTTTGTCGACTTATCTTTGATATGGGACCCTATACCCTATAACCCTAAACCCCAAACCCTAAACCCTCAACCCTAAACCCTAAACCCTAAACCCTGAGATGGGACCCTATAAGGTAGAAGAAGTCCCGCATTGCTCCTGGAGGAGGGGGACCGGAGAAGCCACAGTGCAGCCTATGCACCTTCTAGGCCCTGCTCTAGGCCCGAAAAGCCCTAAACCCTAAACCCTAAACCCTAAACCCTAAACCCTAAACCCTAAACCCTAAACCCTAAACCCTAAACCCTAAACCCTAAACCCTATAGACCCTAAACCCTAACCCCTAAACCTCAGAATGCACAATACTCTTGAACAAAGGCGTATGGGGGGTTGATCTAAAGTTTTTCCTGGCAGACCATAGGAGATATCGTAGTATAGGGTTTAGGGTTTAGGGTTTAGGATTTAGGGTTTAGGGTTTAGGGTAAATGACCACAATTTTAGCATTCACTTGGTCCCCAGGGTAAAAGGTACTGGCTCTCTCCAGAACCACTGCTTTGCCTTGTTTCTACTTGCTCGCCCCCAGACCCTCAACCTCCAAATCCCCAGCCCCTAAACCCTAAACCCTAAACCCTAAACCCTAAACCCTGCCCCTCAACCTTCAGACCCCCAAGCTTGAGGTATCCTGGCGTCATTCCGACAGCGCTCACCATGATGGCCTCGCTCTTTGGGTGCCTTGGCAGAGCTTTGGGTTTAGGGTTGAGGGTTTAGGGTTTAGGGTTTAGGGTTTAGGGTTCAGGGTTCAGGGTTCAGGGTTCAGGGTTCAGGGTTCAGGGTTTATGGTTTGGTTTTGAAGAAGAGCGTTGGGGTTTAGGACGCGTTTGGGCTTTGCGTTGGATGGAATAACAGTGGCATGTAGCGGCTGGTTCGGGCGTCTAGGCTTTCGGTTGCGCAAGCTCCTTCACCTTAATTTCTTGCACCTGGCAAAGTTGATAGCCTAAGTTAGCTTTTGGCATGTTTTGTGGTGTCCTTATCTGGCCTTACAATGGACCCTGTACACAAACATTTTCGAAGGGTTTCAAGGCCAACCCAATAGCTCATAACATAGCTTCCATGGCAGAGCTTCTTTAAATAGCAAGTACTTAGGGAGAATCCATCAAGGGATTAAGACTCGTACCCCGAAGGTTGTACCTCTAAAGGCTCCCCCTTCACATACTCCGAATATGGCCCTTCTCCTACCTCAAGGATCTTTGCAAAGGCAAGGTTCCTCGAATCCAAGGATAGAGCCTTTGTTACTAGATGCTAAGCCCTACTGCAAACCCTAAACCCGAAAACCTTGAACCCCCCTTCACAGAAAAGAGACCCGCAGGAAAGGCTACGTGATGAAGCCAGGCTTTTGCGCGAACGAGCAGGACCGTACTGCAGTCATGAGAGAGATACAGCTTCGGTGGTCTGCAGGTTTGAGGGCTTTAGGTTGGGATGTTTAGGGTTTAGGGTTTAGGGTTTAGGGTTTAGGGTTTAGGGTTTAGGGTAGCTGTATTAATAGCTGTACTTCTGACCATATTAGTGGGCACCTAAAGGGCTTATAAGTGGGTTAAAAGTACAGTTCTAGCTGGTCAATAAGTACCATGAACTTCCAAGGGGGTCTCGTGTTATGGTCTGGAGCGCAAAGCTCCTAAAGCCTGGAATGCTCCTCCTGAAACTAACAGTCCTCAATAATGTGTATAATAGGGGGGGGGGGGGGAGGGGGGGGGGGGGAGGGGGGGGGGGGGAGGGGGGGGGGAGGGGGGGGGGGGGGGAAAGGGGGGGGGGGGAGGGGGGGGGGGGAGGGGGGGGGGGGGGTACTACAATCCCTATTAAGGACCGTTAGTATAAGGGAAAAACATTGGAGGGAGGGGGGGGGGGACTATAATCCCTATTCAGGCCTGTTAGTGTAAGGGGGAACCCTAACCCTAAACCCTAAAACCTGTTATAGTTGGTGAATAGGTACCATGAAGCTCCAAGCAGGACAAAGCCCTCAGCAAGGCCAACCTGAACGCGGATCCTGGGATCGCACTTGGATGACTACTATTTGCTTAAGAACCCAAACGAATAAAAAAAAAAAAACCCTATATTTCTTCATAAGGAATGATATTTCCTTATATATTTTTTTTGGGGGGGGGGGGGGGGGGGGGGGGGGGGGGGTTGTCAAGCAATTAGTGGATGAGGAGGACTCGAGCTTGGGCTCTTGGGTTAGGGTTTTAGGGGTTTTAGGATTTAAGGGTTTGAAGGTTTGAGGGGTTGAGGGTTTGAGGGTTTGAGGGTTTTAGGGTTTCAGGGTTTTAGGGTTTGAGGGTTTTTGGGTTTTTGGGTTTTAGGGTTTTAGGGTTTCAGGGTTTTAGGGTTTTAGGGTTTGGGATTTGGCTTTTGGGAAGGTGTCAAGAGGCAGGTGGCTTTAAACGCTGTCCCTACACCTGAAAACCTTAACCCTAAGCCCTAGCCGCCCTAGGTTTCGCTCTTGAGTATGTACATAAATACAAGGAGGGGCCCCCTTACTACACTAACTGTAGCCTTATAACCTAGTTTAGGATCCTTATCACCCAATTAAGGGCTCTTATACGTCTACTTATAACTAGGGGGCCCCACCCTGTATGTATGTTAAGACACACACACACACACAGTAGCCCAAGAGCCATTCTAAGTGCTCCTTGCTTTAGTTGGCTTGGCGTTCGGCCGTGGAGTCCAGAGAGGTGGGCATCTCAACAAAAGCAAAGACACTCGGGCTCCGGGTTTAAGGGTTTTGGGTTTAGGGTTTAGGGTTTCTTCCATGCCTCTTAAGGGGCTTGCAAGCGAGCTGCGGCTCACCATCATGAAAAACCCGGGACAAGTCTTGGTGCCCAATCGTGAAAGCGCACATAACGCTGATCCCACAACTGGAGACCCTAAAAACCCTAAGCCCCAAAGCCTCAACCAGCTGCTCCCCATGTCCCTGCACGATCTTTTCTCGGCTCGGTGACCTAAACCCTAGACCTTAAACCCCTTAAACCCTTAAACCCCGGACCCTAAACCCTAAACCCTAAACCCTAAACCCTAAACCCTAAACCCTAAACCCTAAACCCCTAAACCCTAAACCCTAAACCCCTAAACCCCTAAACCCCTAAACCCCTAAACCCTAAACCCCTAAACCCCTAAACCCTAAACCCCAAACCCTAAACCCTAAATCCAAGGTGGGCGAGAGTAACCCGGACCCAGCCGGCGCCGCTTCCTTCACGGAACGACGCCGCTTTGGCGAGTTGTGAGGTTCAATCGCCCTGAGACCTGGCACCCACTTAGGGTGTAGGGTACCTTAGGGTTTAGGGTTTAGGGTTTAGGGTTTAGGGTTTAGGGTTTAGGGTTTAGGGTTTAGGGTTTAGGGTTTAGGGTTTAGGGTTTTATGGATAGGGGCTTAAGGGTTTAAGGGTTTAAGGGGTTTAGGGTTCAGGGTTGAGAGTTTGGGGTTTAAGGGGTCTTGGGTTTAGGGTTTTGGGTTGCTCGAGATTTAAGGCTTAGGTTTGAGGACTTAAGGTTCATTCAGGGGAGGCTAGGGCGTTGGTGGGTTGCTTGGACTTTTGGGGTTGTCGGTCGGTTAGGGCTACGGAGAACAAGGGCAGGCTGGGGCTTGACTGCGTCCGCACTTTGGGTTTAGGGTTTAGGGTTTAGGGTTTAGGGTTTAGGGTTTAGGGTTTAGGGTGGGCTCTAGGAACAGAGAAGGCCCCTTTCCACAAGGATGTTTGGGTACGATTTGGTTCGCATTGGACAGAAACCTTGGACCTCAAGCCCGTGTAAACTCTCATGGCTTAGACGTTTAGAGGCCCCAACCCCTGGAATCTGGCTCTAGACCCCTAACCCAAAGCCCTCAACCCCTGGACCCTACACCCCTCAAGCCTCAACCTCAAAATTCCTAAGTCCCTACAGCCAGAGACTCCTAAACCCTAAACCCTAGACCCTAGACCCTAGACCCTAGACCCTAGACCCTAAACCCTAAACCCTAAACCCCGAAAGCCAAATTTGCACTTCTGGGAAGTGGAAAGGTGCGGGTTGGCTGAACGACTGGGGAGCTGCCTTCATTTTCCGTGAAGAGGTGCCCAGTTGGGGGGGGGGGGGAGGTTTAGGGTTTAGGGTTTAGGGTTTAGGGTTTACGGTTTACGGTTTAGGGTTGGGGTTTAGGGTTTAGGGTTAGGGGTTTAGGGATTCAGGGGTTTAGGGGTTTAGGGGTTCAGGGGTTTAGGGGTGTAGGGTTTAATTATGGGTCTGGGGTTTAGTGTTTAGGGTTTAGGGCTAGGGTTTAAGGGTGCAGGGATCATACTTGGAGGTTCAGGGTACTTAGTAACCCAGCATAAGTGTAGTTATCGCCCACATTTAAGCCCCTCCAACTAGAACTGGGTTATAAGTACAGTTCTAATTGGGTTACTAGGTACCATGAACCTGCAAGTAGGGTCTAGGGTTTAGGGGTGTGGTGGTTAGGGTTGAGAGCGCTTCTATCGGGTGTAGGGTATAAGGCTAAGGCTTGGTGGTATCCTCATCAGGATCCCATCATTCTGCCAGCCAGCGGAGACCCCAATTTGGCGACCCGCTGGGAGAGCCTTTAAGGCGGAAGCCAGTTGTTACACGAAAACTGCTGCCAAGATGCCCACTTAGGCTTTTGATACGTGTACTTTGCGGTCCAATAGACAAACTTATGCGAGGTTCTCACTCTGGAAGCATACAAACCCAACCTATGGCGCCCAGCAACAAAGTTATAGGGCAACACAGGGGCATTTAAAGGCCAGAATGCAACTCAATTTGCTGGTAGTCCAGGTTTGGGCTTTCTATAGGCCTCGTGGGCTTCAGGGTTTCGGGGTTCTGCACCCTACCTTAACACGGCTTTTGTTCATGATTGGCCGGGAGGGGGTTTGGCCCAAAATAGTCTTGGGTTCCAACCTTCCCCGCGTCCCCGGAGGCGCTTAAGCAGTTAAAATATCCTGGATTATGGTGGGAAGGACTGTGGCGGGGGGACCCTAGTAAGGCAATCCTAAATATCTTCATGAGAGGGAGCCTCAACAAAAGGGCCAGAAGCCCTGCATCCTACAAGCTCATTCGCCCCACAAGACCGTATAGACAGTCTAAGCACGGGTTTAGGGTTTAGGGTTTAGGGTTTAGGGTTTAGGGTTTGGGGTTTGGGGTTTGGGGTTTGGGGTTTGGGCCGTTTGGGGTTTAGGGTTTGGGGTTTAGGGTTTAGGGGCCGAAGAAATGGTGGGGCTTCTTTTCGGCCAACCTTGGAGGACGAGCCGGAGATCACTGCCTTGCGCCACAAGCTGGTGAAGGCGCATCATGTGCAAAAACCCCTGGGAGCCGAATGCGCTTTTAGGGTTTAGGGTTTAGGGTTTAGGGTTTAGGGTTGAGGGATATACTCTTGGACCATACTTGGCGGGTGTCTTGGTTACAACTTGAGGCTTCTTCCTTGGAGAACGTCGGGACAATGATTCGGGCTTTCTAGGGGGCTCTCATGGTAGGCTCTTGGGGCTTCACGTGTGGGGCCCACTCAGGCTTGAAAATGCCCACAGAGTGTTTAGGGTTTAGGGTTTAGGGTTTAGGGCTTAGGGTTTAGGGTTTAGGGTTTAGGGTTTAGGGTTTGGGGCTTAATTTCCCGCTAACCTGAAAAGGTCATGGAGCCTGCTGGGCTGGGCGATTGGATCCCCCCCCCCCCTGGCGCTACCTTCCCTTTTGGGTTCACAAGTTAGGCTCCCACTGTGACCCCCATGAAGCCAGACGAGGGGGCGGTTCCTTCAGGAACCGAGGAAGTTGGAGGCTTATAACGTGGCTTTAAGAGTATGAACGTAAAACTAAGAGCCACCGCAAAACCACTCATAGTGACCTAAACCCTAAACCCTAAACCCTAATTAAACCCTAAACCCTAAACCCTAAACCCTAAACCCTAAACCCTGAGCCTTAAACCGAGGGAGCCCTCCGAGCCACGATGCCAGGCATACAACAATCTCACCCGGCTTGAGCGGGAAGACCAGGCTGGTTTCGGGTTTAGGGTTTAGGGTTTAGGGTTTAGGGTTTGGGGTTTAGGGTTTAGGGTTTAGGGTTCAGCATCTCAAGTCCGAGCATTCACGAGGCCAGCTCCCAAGCGTTGGAAAAAAACCCACCCACCCAAGAAACCCATAACATTGAGAAAATACAAAGTTCACTCAATACATTCCCAGTAGTTAGTTTTTAACGGACCCAAAACCCGAAATCTAATCTAAGGCCGACAACAAGCCCTTTATGCTCTTAGGGCCCTAAACCCTACGGATTAGAAGCCCCTATCGGTGAAGGCTCGTGGTCAAAAACCCAGAAAACGAGGCCACCCAGAACCGTCGATTTCAGTACTAAAAAATCGCATTTTTAATAGGGACCCGGGCCGATCCTGGGGTCCCCCTCATTTGGGGGTGTTTTTGGAGGCAAACTTTCCCTCCCAAGGGGGGGTCGGAGTTTGAGGTTAGGGGGGGTCTCCGAAGATTATTTGCCTTTAAAATTGAAAAACACGACCCCCCCTTGACCAAAACTAGGCTGTGAAAAGGTCGCGGGGGCTGCCCTTCATTAGAATTGAGGGTTAAAAGCCCTGAAACATCCTGAAACACATTGAAATTGAAAAACACTGAAAACCTCTGAAAAACCTTGAAAAACCTTGAAAAATTCGGGGAAAAGGAAATTCACCATTGCCCACTTTTTGAAGCCGAAATTCACCGTTGCCCACTTTTGAGGCCAGAAAAGTCACCGTTGCCCACTTTTGAGGCCAGGAAGGTCACCGTTGCCCACTTTTGAGGCCAGGAAAATCACCATTGCCCACTTTTGAGGCCAGGAAAATCACCGTTGCCCACTTTTGAGGCCAGGAAAGTACCGTTGCCCACTTTTGAGGCCAGGAAAGTCACCGTTGCCCACTTTTGAGGCCAGGAAAATCACCATTGCCCACTTTTGAGGCCAGGAAAATCACCGTTGCCCACTTTTGAGGCCAGGAAAGTACCGTTGCCCACTTTTGAGGCCAGGAAAATCACCGTTGCACACTTTTGAATTAGGGTTTAAATTCATTATGATAGAGAGGTTTAGGGTTTAGGGTTTAGGGGGGTTTATAGGGCTTGGGGTTTGGGATTTGGGGCAGAGGGTTCAAGTTTAGGTGCAACTGCGCGATTCAAGCTTCAAGGTTCGGGGTTTGTCTTTCAGGTTTTAAGGCTCTTTAGGGTTTCGGGTTTAGGGTTTAGGGTTTAGGGTTTAGGGTTTAGGGTTTAGGGTTTAGGGTTTTTCTTTACCAACTTTGCGATTTAGCGTTCAAAGTTTCAGGTTCAGGGTGTAGGGCTTAGATTTCAGTTCCAGGGTTTATGGCATAGGGCTTTGGCGTTGACTACCCCTGCCTGAACAAACACCTTAAGTCTTAGGGCAGTTGCATGGTCCCTTCATATGGGCCCTTAAAGGTTCATTAGGGTTTAGGGTGTAGGGTTTAGGGTTGAGGGCCCAGCACCTACAGGCCAGAGCTTTTCGGATTCTTTGTCAACCTATTTGTTGGGTGAAGCCTATTAACCCTAAGCCCTCTAAACCTTGTAAGCCTTGTGGACGCTACGGCAGGTCTAATGGTAGTTGTATGGTCCCTGAATATGGTCCCTTACCTTCTTTAAAGGGTTCTGAGGTATGGCCCTTGGGGTTTGGGGCATATAAGTGGTATACAAGGGTTCCCTAAACCCTAAATCCTAAACCCTAAGCCCTAAATCCTAAACCCTAAACCCTACACCCTAAACCCTAAACCCTAAACCCTACCCCTAAGGGGCCCAGATTAAGGGACCATGTAACTACCCTCAGGGTTGGGGGGGTGTGGGGGTGTTCAGCTGGAGGCGTCCAGTCACCGCCAGAGGAGCTCGGCGAAGTCGGGCCCGGCGGCCCAAACCCAGGGTTGAGGGCTTGGGGGAGGGTTTAGGGTTTAGAGGTCAAGGTTCAGGGTTTAGGAGGCTTAGGTAGGGTTTAGGATAGAGGGTTGAGCTAGACCGCCAAACCTTCCCGAACTCAAACTTTCCCGAACTCATACGGGTTTCATAATTCCGCCCTGATGATGGTACAAGTGGGGGCAGCGGTATTTGCTGAACCCTACACCCAAAACCAGGAGGCGCTTGAAGCTTGAAACCCTAAACCCTAAACCCTAAACCCTAAACCCTAAACCCTAAACCCTAAACCCTAAACCCTAAACCCTAAACCCTAAACATTCCGAAATTCTTTCCCCTGTGACTCCTAAAGCTGGCGCACTCAGGCCTGTCCCTTGCCGAAAGTGACGAGTTCGTTTGGCCCATGCCAGTGCCTCCGCTGCTTGTGGCTTGATGATGTGCTTCCTTTTTCTTGTATAGTTTAGGGTTTGGGGTTTGGGGTTTAGGGTTTAGGGTCTAGGGTTTAGGGTTTAGGGTTTAGGGTCTAGGGTCTAGGGTTTAGCGTTTAGGGTTCACAGGTTTGCGGTTTTGGGGCTTAGGGCTTTTAGGCTTCAGGATAGACCCTAGCAGAGGCAGTTACCTTCTCGATGTGCCCTGCGCTAAACCCTAAACCCTAAACCCTAAACCCTCAACCCTAAACCCTAAACCTAAGGGCAAGCAGAGCCCGCAGCTCCTGCGCCGCGAGTCATCGCGGCGGAAGCCGGGAAGGCCCGGCAGGGTCTAAGGCTTGGAAGCTGCTACACAAAGAGTATTCTGATGGATATAGTAGTATATATGTATGTATGTATGTGTGTATGTATGTATGTATGTATGTATGTATGTATGTACGTACGTACGTATGTATGTATGTATGTATGTATGTATGTGTGTATGTGTGTATGTGTGTATGTACGTACGGAATCTGTGCAATAGAATCTACAAGAACATGTTCTTATCATATTCAGTTTACATACATAATATAAGTGTATATATATATATATGTAACATATTCTGCTGGAGATAGTATGAGATCTTCCACTTACATAACTTAGCACAAGAAAAATCTGCTTAAGATAATGTAAGATATTCTTAGTGCACGAGAATGTTGCAGATATATTGGTAGGACCTTGAGATATGTTTCTCTGGTGGTTCACGCGGTTTCAGAGTGTTGGAGTACGTTCATGGGGGGGGGGCGACTCAAAAGGCCGACCCACTAAACGAAATCCTAAACCCTAAGCCCTAAACCCTGAACCCTAAACCCTAAACCCTAAACCCTAAACTCTAAACCCTAAACCCTAAACCCTACAGTAACTCTTGAGCGTCCTTCGCCCCTTGAGGCCGACGGGGCTTTTGTAGACTTGGGGGTGAGCTGGGCTGTGGGGGTCGGGATATACCCGGAGCCTGGAGATTACGGTTAAGGGTTTAGGGGTTAGGGTTCAAGGTTTAGGGGTTTGGGCTTTGGGGTGTAGGGTCTACGGTTTGGGGTTTAGGGTTTATGGTTCAGGGGTCTCGGATTTCGGGTTTAGGGTTCATAATATAGGGCTTCAGCCCCGCAACCCAAAAGCACCAAGTCCTAAAGCCCCCAACAGCCCAAAATGTCTCTCAAAGACCAACACCCCAAGACACGATTGCCCTAAACCCGAAACCCTAAACCTTAAACCCTAAGCCCTAAACCCTAAACCCTAAACACCCAAGACATCGGCGAGCAGGCGAAAGACCAGCATGTCCGTGGCTCCCGACGGAGGGTTCCTGGACCTGCCGCAGCCGGAGGCACAGGTTTGTGGGTGTACCTGAAACCCCCAAGGTATATGATTGAATACAGAATATTCGAATGTGTATATATATATATATATATGCACATATACAACAAATTGATTTCACACATATATATATATATATAATATGTATACGTCTGTGGGAGACAAAAGTTGAGCGGTTGACAGCCCACCGACACTTGAATGACGACTACGAGCATCGACATCGAAAGCGACCACACTACCCTAAACCCAAAGCCCTAAAACCCTAATTCCTAAGCCCTAATCCAAAGTGGTTCACCCTGTCAGCTCGGGGCACTCTCATGGATTGTTAGCCCAAAGCAACGCAATGGAAATGGAGGTGCATGTCGTCCCCTCGTAGGACGATGCCGAGTTCAATACAGTAGTAGTAGTAGTAGTAGTAGTAGTAGTAGTAGTAGTAGTAGTAGTAGTAGTAGTAGTAGTAGTAGTAGTAGTAGTAGTAGTAGTAGTAGTAGTAGTAGTAGTAGTAGTAGTAGTAGTAGTAGTAGTAGTAGTAGTAGTAGTAGTAGTAGTAGTAGTAGTAGTAGTAGTAGTAGTAGTAGTAGTAGTAGTAGTAGTAGTAGTAGTAGTAGTAGTAGTAGTAGTAGTAGTAGTAGTAGTAGTAGTAGTAGTAGTAGTAGTAGTAGTAGTAGTAGTAGTAGTAGTAGTAGTAGTAGTAGTAGTAGTAGTAGTAGTAGTAGTAGTAGTAGTAGTGGTAGTAGTAGTAGTAGTAGTAGTAGTAGTAGTAGTAGTAGTAGTAGTAGTAGTAGTAGTAGTAGTGAACTCTCGATTCTGCTCGGGGCCCGTTTCGGGGGTGGGTTCACCTCAACCCTCATGGCCTGCGAACTGGGCAAGAAGGGTGCTCCAACATCACACTGATGCCCCGTGAGAAGCGGCAGTCCTGCAAAGTCTTTGAAAGGAACTCTTCTCGGCTGTAATATAGGCGCCTAAACAATTAAGATAAGATGTTGGTGGTTCTTATAGTCTCATTCTATAGGGACCCTAAGGGAATGCTATAATTGCAAGTAATTATTCCGACCCCTGTATTTGAGCCTCAGCCACGTTCCGCTTGTGCACACCTCGATGTTTCACATTCAGCCTTAACTGGTAGTATAGGGGCCTTAAAAATTAGAGAGGGCTTTGGGGGGGTGATTGTAGTATAAATATGAAGGGATTAGAAGGGAATAATATTAGTAACTATTCCGACCACTTGCCGCTCACGTCTGGCATCGTATACCCCGCCTGGGCTGCGAAGACACAACCCTGCTGGGGTTCAGGGTTTAGGGTTGAGGGTTTTGGGTGTTGGGTTTAGGGGTTTAGGGTTTAGGGTTTAGGGTTTAGGGTTTAGGGTTTAGGGGTTAGGGGTTAGGGGTTAGGGGTTAGGGTTTAGGGTTTAGGGTTTAGGGTTTAGGGTTAAGACCTTGATATCTAAACATGGACCCACAGTAGGACCCTCATTCCCTTTGCGTTTTGAGGTTTGCCCTTTAATCCAAAAGGGGTACCCTTTTTACACCTAGGTTACTCTCGCGTCTGGCAAAGCTTTGACATACATTGCATCTTAACACCCTAAACCCTAAACCCTAAACCCTAATTAAGCCCTAAACCCTAAACCCTAAACCCTAAACCCTAAACCCTAAACCCTAAACCTCTTCCGCAACTGCATGCGCTGTGCTAGGATCTCCTTGAGCTGGGCACTCCCGACCTCACCGGCGTCGCTGGGGGCCTGGGACGACAGGCGTGGCCCTCCCCTGATGCTCGGGTGAAGGGTTTGGGGTTTGGGGTTTGGGGTTTAGGGTTTAGGGTTTAGGGTTTAGGGTTTAGGGTTTAGGGTTCAGGGTTTAGGGTTTAGGGTTTAGGGTTAGGGTTTAGGAATTTGAGTTTAGGGTTAAACTCTGAACCCCAGGATCTGAAAGAGGTCACTGAACCCGAAGCCCAAGATCAGTCCGAAAAGCCTGACAGAGTTCTTCCCCGGAGCACCAAAGCCCAAGATCTGGACCAAAAACTAGGTAGGCTCTTTGGTATATTTTGTATTTTCCTCATTAGGTTTCAGAGGTGCATGTTTACATCTTCAGAGATGTTTGAGGACCGGCCTAGCAAAGTCCGAATGACTTGAACCGCTAAACCTGAAGCCCTCAAGCCTCTCTTCCTAGGCGCAGTCAGTAGACCCTAAACCCTAAACCCTAAACCCTAAACCCTAAACCCTAAACCCGCTTGGGACGTCCGATCTCTTTGTGCGAGGGTTCAGCGGTTCAATTACCTCAGGGTTTTGGGGGTTTGGGACCTTGGGCTTCAGGGTTTAGGGTTTAGGGTTTAGGGTTTAGGGTTTAGGGTTTAGGGTTTAGGGTTTAGGGTTTAGGGTGTGTGTGTGTGTGTGGGTGTGTGTCGGAGTGTAGAGCATACCTGAGAAACACATGGTTTTTGCAGCAAACACCTGCACGAAATGTAGGCCCGGGGTTCCCAAATGTAGGGGTTTGCAGTCTCCGCAATAGAGTTGGCCCTCAGCCCGTAATAAGGACATGTAAGCTATTACTTTCTGGGTACTCTGGAGGTCCAGGCAAGGCTTGAGAGGGATCTAGCTGCTGCTCTGATTTGCAAAGTCAGGTGTTTAGGATACATGCGTTCAAGTCGTGGAAATTCGGGCTTCGTCAGGGGGGTTGTTGAGGGAAAGAGGGAGACGTGGTCGTTGCAGGCCATCTGCACGTTCAAGTCCCTCATGATCGCCGCCATGAAGATGTGCGCATTCTGCTGCCCGCGACAGCACTTTTCGGCCACACCCAACCCTAAAAGGGGTGGTTCAGGGAAGGGTCTCAGGTTTTTAGGGTTTTAGGGTCTAGGGTTTTAGGGTTTAGGGTTTAGGGGCCCTAGCAAGGGCTTATTGAAAGCAGTATGGGGTGGCAGAATTCTAGCTTCGAAATCATAGGGCTCCAATTTTCTCTCTTCGGGGCATTCCTATTTATGGGATTATAGGGTTTCGCCTATCCTGGGACGTCTCAGGCTACATCTTGGTGACTACGGCTGTGAGCATGTACTGCGCAGTGTCCTATTCCCTGCCTCTGGCATCGATGCTCGGCTGCCATTGGGCGCTACTGGCCTAGACGCTTCCAGTGGATGTTGCACATCAATTACCCTCAACCCCAAAAAGCTAGAACTTGAAGAGGAAAAGGGAGAGGGAGGGAGAGAGGGAGACAGAGAGAGAGAGAGTGGGAGGGCAAAAGAAGAATCAGAAGAGAGCGTGTGTGTTGAAGGTTGGTATCATGAAGTAGAAGGGTTTAGGGTTTAAGGTTTAGGGTTTAGGGTTTATGGTTCAGGGTTTAGGGTTTAGGGTTTAGAGGTATGGGCCTGTAGAAGCCGTAGAAGGCCAGTTCGCACACAGCATCAAACCGAGGCTTGACTGAGAATCTCGGACCCGCCCCCAAGTGCACATATACTGTACAGGGCTTAGGGTAGAGGGTTTAGGGTTTAGGGTTTAGGGTTTATGTGCTATGCTAAACCCTCAACCCTAAACTCTAAACCCTACACCCGAAACATTCAAAACCCTTAACCCTCAACCCTTCACCCTGAACCCTAAGGCCTGACAAACACGAAGCCCAAGCATGACCCCCTGCAGGATGAACGCATCATTTCAGCACCCAGAACGCGCAAAACCTTCCGAGTCGTTGTCTGGGGCCTTAGGGTTCAGCGTTTGGGGTTTAGGGTTTAGGGTTGGGTTTTAGGGTTTAGGTTTCAGGGTTTAGGGTTTAGGGTTGAGGCTGAGTATTTTTTGGATTGAGGGTTTTGAGGGCTTTGAAATGCTGGCAGGCTCATCATTGGTGTGGTCGACGGCCTGGCCGCCGGTGTGGCGAATGTGCAGCTCGGTTGGGCTTGGCCAATCAACTCTGCCCCCTGCGCCCAAACAGAAGGCTTATAATACCTTTGTGGTGCTTTACTGTAACTTTAGATCTTTAGCCTTTGTGGGTTTATTGGGTTTCTGAATAAGGCAGCTAAAAGTTTAATTTTTTACTACCCTCCTAAGTGCAGCCAAGAGAAGGCTTACAATACGACCCCTGATATTGGAGGGGGGGAAGGGGGGGGGGGGGGGGGGGGGGGGTTAGATGTACACACACAAGCATCATACATACACATATAACACAAGGTGATTTGGAGACGTACGGAGAGCTCTAACAGCTTGATTGGTTTCTCGTGTAAAAGGGCACATAAACCATGATCCATATCAACTTCATGTCTTCACTAAAGTTATGAGGCAGCCAGCACTAGCTTTCGGTCTAAGAAGTGTAGGTCTGGTTGACTAGAAAGAAAGGTCAGCTTGGCATGCTCTGGGGACGGAAGGTAACAAGCCGGCGAAACATGGCCGGGCCGGGGGGGGGAGGGGGATTTAATGTTAGCTTTTCAGGTCCATGCACCTAAGAAGGGAATGACTTCCTCGGGCACTCTTGCTTGTGTGTTGATGGGGTGCTTCCTGGGTCCTAGAGCCGGCTGAGAGGTGCGTTGTTCACGTTTAGGTTTAGGGTTTAGGGTTTAGGGTTTAGGGTTTAGGGTTTAGGGTTTAGGGTTTAGGGTTTAGGGTTTAGGGTTTCAGGGTTTCAGGGTTTCAGGGTTTCAGGGTTTCAGGGTTTCAGGGTTTCAGGGTTTAGGGTAGCGGTGAGTTGTGGCAAACGGGTGTCCTCGGCTGACCGTTGCTTTCGGCGAGTTCCATCCTTGCAGAGAGTGAAGCACTAAGGGGGTTAGGGTCTAGAGTCCTACCCAAAGAGCCCAATACCCCTGAATTAAGGAAAATACCTTAGCATAAACAGGGATCCCTAATATGATTTAAGGCATATTCTTTTTGGTAAGCCGTAACCTTGAACCCTAAGCCCGAAACCTCGCATTGGCCTTTCCAAGGAAAGCTGTGCTCAATCGCTCCTGCCTGCCGGGCTACCTGCAGTCGATTACCGTTTTCGTGACACTGCCAGGCCCACAACTTCAGCTTGGCTCCTTTGGAGTTCCCTAAAGAGAGAGAGAGAGAGAGAGAGAGAGAGAGAGAGAGAGACACAGAGAGAGAGAGAGAGAGAGAAACAAAGCAAAAGCTTCTGCACTAGAATAAGAAGAGATCGACGGCTTTCGTCCACGCTCTCAGATGGTTTAGGGCCTTAGGGCTTTTGCGGGTTCGTGGTTTTGGGGGCTTCCTCTCATTCCCAGATCCATGCATAAAAAAGAACCCTAAACCCTAAAACCTAAACCCTAAACCCTAAACCCTAAACCCTAAACCCTAAACCCTAAACCCTAAACCAACCCTAAACCCCAAGAGCCCGAAACCCCAAGAGCCCATCACCCTAAGCCTTTGGAAGCCCTTAAGCTGCTGACGTTCTTCGGACCGCAGCACCCCCCCAAGAGCTTCAGACCCCAACTACGGGATGTTTGGGGCTTATGGGGTTTAGCCCTAAACCCGAAACCCTAAACCCTAAACCCCAAACCCTAAACCCTAAACCCTAGAGGGTTAAGGAGTTGAGAGATTAGGGTTTAAAATTCTTAGTCCTTGTATGAGGGTTCTGGGCTCGAAGGGCCGTTTCGTGGATCTTCTAGGCGACCGGCCCTGTAACTTCTCGCCAAGAGTGTCTCACCGGCAACAAAATCACTCCATCCGTGTATGTAAGTATGTATGTAGCTTATCATGTTCCTATAGACCTGTATATGCTTTGAAACTTTAGTTTAAATATGTAAACATATACACATATAAATCCGAAACCCTAAACTCAACCCGAAGCCGCTGACAGGCATCCTCTTTGTCCTGGTCTTCTTCTCGCAAATCGGCGGCTCCCCCCTTCTCAGCTGTGCCATGCCACTCGGACGTGTTGAGGCGTTAGGTTGGGGGTTGTAGGGTTTCGTTAAGGGTTCTGGGTTTGGGGTTTAGGGTTTAGGGTTTATAAGGGTTTAGGGTTTACGGGCTTTCGGATGGCTTGCTTTGGGGGGGTAGGGGGCCAGGAGGGCGGCGTACCCTGACGAAACCAAACGGTTTGATGGGTGGCTTCATACTTGCAAGGTCCGAACCAAACCCCTAAACCCCTCAACTCTAAACCGCTAAACCTCTACACTCCTAAACCCGAAACCCTGAAAACCCTACCCCGGACCCCAAACCCTAAGAACCCCAAACCCCAAAAAAACCAAACCCCAAAAACCCCAAACCCTAAAACCCCCAAACCCAAACCGCAAACCCAAAACCCAAAACCCCAAACCCCAAAACCCAAACCCCACACCCCAAACCCCAACTCCAAACACCAAAGCCCAAACCCCAAACCCTAAACCACTAACCCCAAACACTAAACCCCAAACCCCAAACCCTAAACCCCAACCCGAAATCCGGGTAAGCCCTGAATTAAACCCCACATTGCTACTAATGGCTTAAGAGCACCAAAAACACAAATCACAAAAAGTCCTCCTTGTAAGGGCAATAATATAGGGAGTATTTTTTTGTGTTCTTAAGCAAGTAGGGGGGGTTCGAAACCCTAAACCCCAACCCTAAACCCTAAACCCTAAACCCTAAACCCTAAACCCTAAACCCTAAACCCTAAACCCTAAACCCTAAACCCTAAACCCTAAACCCTAAACCCTAAACCCTAAACCCCGCGTAAGGTGCTGCCTTGCCGTGTGGAGGGCCTTGGACTTCCAAGCCGGGGAGGTGGGTTCAGGGTTTGTGGCCTCTTGTGGCTGACCCTAGCCCTAAACCCTAAACCCTAAACCCTAAACCCTAAACCCTAAACCCTAAACCCTGGTCGTGAGGCTTACAAGGGCTTGGTTGGGGGTTGGGAGTTGAGACTTTGGAGCAATTCTTGATGTTACTAGGGGTTTAGGATTGAGGACTTGGGTTATAATGACTGTGACCATGGCTAGACGACTATCTCTACATGTTCACAAGCTTCCGGGTCTAGGGGTGAGGATGACAGGTAGTGTCACGATCGGCAGGACGCGTTTGTGTTTCGTTACCTGTGCATCCCTACTCAAGGCTCTGGAACGACTCGCATCCCGACCCAAGCCCGAAATCCGAAACCCGAAACCCTAGAGGGACTTGGGGAATCTGTTGGTGCATGGTCTCCGCTTGCCTGCGGAGAGGTTCAGGGCCCTTTAGGATCCAAAACAAAATCCTACCGACCTAGAACCGAATGAAGACCAACGCTCGGGGGACCTCGAGAGCTCGGATTTAAGGGGCTTCCCGAAATGAGGGGTACCTTCTTGGGGTCCTTGTTATAAGTTATAAGGGAAGCCTTCTTTTTGGGTTTTATATTAGGGGTCCCTCATTTTTGCAAAGCCCCCCCCCCCCCCCCCCCCATTTAGGTTTGAGCTACAGCAAGTGGACTGAATCTCCATGTGCACTTTGGCGGAGGCCGTTCATGTCATGGGTAGTCCCTAACTTATGGCCCCTTTCTGGGGGTACCCCCATGTAGTCATAAGCACCCTTAATACAAAGGGACCCCCAAAAAGGGACCCTATGATTTACCTTATAAAAAAGAGACCCCCCAAGAAGGGACCCCTAGGATTTAGAGAGCTAGCCCCACACGTGCCCTCGAGGTGGCTATTGACATCAAGAGCCGCAAGAAGCTGGAGAAAGCACAGGACAGGGTGCGGGACTGAGTGGGCAGCAGCAAGGGGGTGGCGAAGGCACCGGAAAGTTCGCAGCGCAGCTGTTCTCTCAGTAGTCAGGGGGCATTGTGAAGTAGCCTTCAAAGAACCCAGAGGCTCCAAAACCCCTTAGTTAAGGAATGTGCCTTAAGTCATATGAGGGTTCCGAGTATAAGGTATATTCCTTAATTAAGGGCTTTTGGAGTCTCGGGGAAGTCGTTGTCTTCGCTGTGGCCGTGATTTGATGAACTCGCCGCGCTCGTGGTCGTGGTGGTGGTGTTTGCGGTGGCCGTGGTGCAGTTTTACAAAGTGATAGTTGCACTCGCAGTTGCAACGGTCGTTGCCGTGATCGTCGTGTTGGTCCCTGCTTCAGATCGGGTCATGCAGCATCTTTAAACGGCTAAGCTCTAGTTTGGGAACACCCAATAGGGATGGCTACTATTCTCTTGCAGTCTCACGTGACCTGCTAGCATGCCCACAGCTGAGATCAAAAAGCAGAAGGGCATCTGCCTTATAACGGCCCTCGGCTTCTTCATTGCGCACACGCCGCCAGATGGCATGCTTCACCCAAAAACCCCAACACCCGACTACGTTGAAAATGGGCCCATAGCCTTTTGGGGGAGGAGACTATAAGAACCCCTTATGAAAGGTTTAGGGTTCAGGGTCTAGGGTTTGGAGGAAGCCCTCCACTCGTTTTGTTCCGGGGTGGCCTTAGGGTTTCGGATTGAGTGCTGGACGTTTCGAACACTAAACTACCATCTGAGGGCTGATCAAAGTGTGCCCTTGCTGTCATGCTAAACTAGAAAATAGTCACACCGACCCGAAAGGACCCGGAATGTAGATCAACACCGGCAGCTCTACACCAATGATTGTTGGAGCACCTGTGCGTGGCAAGCGCCTCTCAACCTCCCCAAAGTACCCCCAAATCTTGGTCAAGACCAGTAAAGAAGATCGTTTGTTCATTTATATGTGCATATGGTTCTGTATACATATATACATATATATATATATATAATTATGCACTTATATTTATGTGTATACTTATATTTAGATATGTATACATATTTTCTGAGCATACATACACTTGTTTTTTCGTTTTTTTGTATCACGGGGGATTGAGAAGCCTTGCAAACCCCTCAGCTGAGGCTCTGGATGATGTACGCCACCCGCACGGCGGCATCTTGCCGGGCATCCCTAAATCCTAAACCCCAAACCCTAAACCCCAAACCCTAGACCCTAAACCCTAAACCCTAAACCCTAACCCTAAACCCTAAACCCTAAACCCTAAAAAACCCCAAAAACCAATTGTTGCGGTCCCTGCTGTTTTCTTGGGTATCGAGTGGAATCATGGGAGGCCTTAGGCTCCAAGAAAGCCTGAGTTTTTGGGGGGGTTTAGAGTCTAGGGTTACGGGCTTAGGGTTTATGGTTTAGGGTTTATAGGGTTTAGGGTTTAGGGTTTAGGGTTTAGGGTTTAGGGTTTAGGGTTTAGGGTTTAGGGTTTAGGGTTTAGGGTTTAGGGTTTAGGGTTTAGGGTTTAGGGCTTAGGGTTTAGGGTTTAGAAGGAGTCACGGTTTAGGCTAGCTGGGTCCTTCAGCTGATTGTGGCTTCCAGGCAAGTTGGATGTGCTGTCGCAGCGGTAGGAGGCACACAGCTGCGGGGCAGCCCACCCTGGAGCCCCTTCTATAAACCCTTAAACCCCTGAAACCCTTAAACCCTTCAGGGTTTAGGGTTTAGGGTTTAGGGTTTAGGGTTTAGGGTTTAGGGTTTAGGGTTTAGGGTTTAGGGTTTAGGGTTTAGGGTTTAGGGTTTAGGGTTTAGGGTTTAGGGTTTAGGTTAAACCCCTAAACCCTTAAACCCTTAAACCAAGGAGTTGGGGCCTAGGCTTTTGGCTGGTGTTTAGGGGCCAGGGGTGTAAACCTTAGGCCCGAAACCCCTAAGGGGGATTTGCGGTCTAGAGTTTCCCGTAAACCTTAGGCCCTGAACCCTAAACCCTAAACTCTGAACCCGAAACCCTACACCCTAAACTTTGAGCTCAGGTCAAAATCGACACCAGCGGCGCGAAAGACGCGATCATCCAGAAACTGCAGAATCCCCTGGCCCTGACCAAGGATCCCCTGCTTTGGGCCTTAGGATTTAGGGTTTAGGGTTTAGGGGTAGGGTTTAGGGTTTAGGGGTTGAGGGTTTAGGGTGGGGGGTTTGGCCCTGACCAAGGATCAGCTTCTTGGGGGCTTTCGGGGGATTCGGGTTTGAGTTTAAGGGTGCAGGGTCTAGGGTTTAGGGTTTAAAGTTTCGGGTTTGGGTTTAGGGTTTAGGGTTTAGGGTTTAGGATTTTAGGGTTTAGGGTTTAGGGTTGAGGGTTTAGGGTGGGGGGTTTCGGGTTGGAGGTTGAGGGTTTAGGGTGCAGAGTCCGACCGAGTCTCCGCTAGCCGGTGCGCTCGATTAGGGGGTCAGGTGCAGATGTAGTTTCGGGATTCATTGGTGGGAGTCTGAGGATTTAGGGCTTGGGGATTAGGTGATTTAGGGTTTGGATGCAAGGTGATGTTTGAATAGCTACATACAAGAAGATCTTCCGAGATCCCGGTCGTGACCGGTCACCCGGCGCCCTAAACCCCTCAACCCCTCAACCCCTGAACCCCTCAACCCCTGAACCCCTGAACCCCGGAACCCCGGAACCCTGAACCCTAAACCCCTAAGCCTCTAAACCCCAGATGCTCGGAGTCCTGAAGCCCAACCTCAGCCTGGTTCCGGGTTCGCGCCTGAACCCTAAACACTAAACCCTAAACCCTAGCGGAGGCCATCATGAAGGTGATTTACGTCCGAGTCTTCACCAAAATGGTTACGACCAACTGGATCTTGGAGGCAAGGCACTTGTGGGTTCAGGGTTTAGGGAGCCCCCCTCCCCGGCACAAAAAGTATATTAAACGATAAGAAGAAGAAGAAGAAGAAGAAGAAGAAGAAGAAGAAGAAGAACAATCATAATAATAGCAAAAATCATAATAATCATCATCATCAGCATCATTCATCATTCATCATTCATCATTCATCATTCATCATTCATCATTCATCATTCATCATTCATCATTCATCATCCATCATTCATCATCCATCATTCATCATTCATCATTCATCATTCATCATTCATCATTCATCATTCATCATTCATCATTCATCATTCATCATTCATCATTCATCATTCATCATTCATCATTCATCATTCATCATTCATCATTCATCATTCATCATTCATCATTCATCATTCATCATTCATCATTCAATCATCCCTGCTTTGGGATTAGGGATGGGAGGCCCAAGCCCAAAGCCCTGAACAACGCACACCACACGGTATAAGACTTCATGCACACCGCCGAGAGCTGCCCAGGTCGAGACTTAGGGGTCAGTGCTGTGCTGAGATGACTAGTGTCCAGGAAGGAGGGGAAGTGGAGCAGTTGGATGGTTTAGGGTTTAGGGTTTTTGGGTTTTGGGTTTTGGGTTTAGGGTTTTGGGTTTAGGGTTTAGGAAACAGAGCGTGCAACAACAATGCAAGCCTCAGGCCGTTTTCGATGCTGCTGACGACCACCTCAAGGTAAAGATCCTCGCTGCCTACGCGTATTGGGTTTAGGGCATGTCAGTTTGTAGGAATGACGTCCAAAACCCTACATCACTTCATTGAGGTTTGGGCCGAATTGAAGCTAGTTCCGTTTTAGCTGCACTTGGGACGTGTCTTCTCCCAGCTCGCACCGGACCCTAAGCCCTGCAAACCCGATACACTCTTCTTACCTTATCAGCCCGACCCATGAGCCCGGTAAACCCTATGAACCCGGGTTTCGGGTTTAGGGTTGCGCTTGAGAGCCCCAATACCCCAAGCCCTAAACCGCAAACCCAAAACCCAAAGCCCTCCCAACCTTGCCAAGGAAAGAGTCGGGCTCGCACGTGGAGGACTCGTGGGCGAAGCTCACGAAGGGGAAGCGGAAGAAAAAGAAGAAGAAGAAGCGGCATGGCGCAGGATTACGTGGCTCTGGGTTTGGCTGTGAGGGTCTTGAGGGGTTTTTGGGGGATCTTTAGGGTTTTTAGGGGGTTTTAAGCGTCTTTAGAGGTTTTTGGGGGGATCTTTAGGGGGCTTCTAGGGCTTTAGGGTGCTCAGGGTTGCCATCCTCAAGGGCTTCAAGGTTCGCCAGGGTGGGGGCTGGGGAACTTTTTTTTGCAACCTGGGAGCCATCCCAGACCCCCTGAATGGGGCTGAGGGCTGAGGGTTTGGGGCTGAGGGCAGTTTAGTAGGGTTTGGGGTTTAGGAGTGAAAAAAGGTGGAACCCTCAATGTCTCTGCTCCTTTTGGTAGCTTCCTTCTCTCAATCCTAAACAACACCTAAAACCTGATTGAGTTCAGTGATGGCCAAGGAAGAAGGACGGCGAATCGACCGAAGAAGAGGCTCAGACACGTCAAAGAAGTCCCCAGGATCTCCTCCATAGCTGCCATGCGCCACGGCGGTTTGAGTCCAAACTCGTTCCAGTCTGGGGCTGATAGGGGCTGACAGGGTTTAGGGTTTAGGGTTTAGGGTTTGGGGTTTGGGGTTTGGGGTTTGGGGTTTAAGGGTTTAGGGTTTAGGGTTTGGGGTTTAAGGGTTTTTGGGGGGAGGAGGCGGGGGGGAGGGGGGGGGGAATGCGCTGGGAACCCATCACGCCAGCTGTTGTCGTTCTCAACGCTTGTTCCTCCAAGCCTTTGGTTTCTTTGCTGGTTCTGAGGAGCCCCTCAGTGGTGCCATGTTTCCCCTTTGTTGAAGGGTAGGGCTCCGAGCAAGCCCCCCCATGAATTGAAATCAAATATGGGTCCTTTCCAGGTGCCCTGCAGCAAAGTAGAGACCCGAAAAGAACCATCTTTTGATTGATCCCATCTCTATCGGGTTGCCCCTATAGCTTGTTGGGGACGCTATCTGAAACTGAAGCTGAGGAGTAGGATCATCAGGCTTTTTGGTTGACGGTTTAGGCCTCTTTCTGTGTGCTGTTGCACTCTCATTT